ATAAAAGAATTAAACCTGAACCGTGCTCAATTATGTTTCTTCATCTCTTGCTGTGTAAACTTGATAAGTGGCCCTTGCTAGATAGGACTGGGTGGACATTGGCTCGCCACATTATTAAAATAACATTTTAGATATATCTGGAATCTGTCCCAGCAATTTCTGACACTTAGTCTAGTCTGTACCTGAGTAAGCTTTAACATAGTTGGTTATCAATTACTTTTGAATGTTATACCCCATATTCTATTCAGGCCAGGTCCCTGTGTTATATTACTGTTATCCTATATTATTGTCATAATACAGTGTTTAAAACCGGGTCATTTATGGTGTTTTGTGCAAGAGGATAAGCAAGCAATGTTTTTGACTTCTTTGTGAAGGTGTAGGTCCAAGAGTTCAGAGGACTCAAGCACTGATATTTCTCTGGTTCCTATCTTATCTTTTTATTTTCTAACAAAAACACGTTTACTGGAACATTAATCCCATAACAAATATGGTATAGATAAGTTATGATCTATTCTGTCTTTTATATTGGGGGGCATAATGTCATGTTTATAATAAACACACAACCATAAATAGACATAATAGTACTCTCAAGAATAGTATTAGTCCCATGTATTTTTATTTATCATTTTAAAATTAATATGTATGTAATGTTTATGTAGGCTATTTTTCTACAATCTACATTGTAATAATTTGTATACGTTATATATATGTTATGTAGTAAGAGTGATACATCAAAGCGCAACAAAAAATTTTTAAATTAGAGAATGTCTACGAGGTTTCATCACTGACAGAGCTGCGAGGCCAGTTGTTTGCCACGTGACTGGGTCTTAAATACAGCAGGAGCTGCACTTCGTGGACTCAGTTCTGTTCTGGACACAGGGGCCCGGGGCCACCCACGGGACACACCTTCAGTCCAGCGGTGCGCTGCTGGAGCTCTGCGCGTCTTGAGGCCCCTCCCTTAGCACTTATATCGTCGGGGCGCACCTTCTGCCCGGTGCACATCATGAAAGAGGAGCTGTAGGACCGGGTGCACACTGTGGGTAAAAAGTCCACCTGTCTGAGTTTCTTTGGATCGTCCAATCTAACCAAGAAGCTTCAGTCATGAAGACTATCCTCGCTGCCTACTCTGGTGTCGCCAAAGGTGAGTGGACCACCATCACAGGAACGGCGAGGGGCTTGTTTTGTAATAATTGAGGCAAATCGTGGACCATGGGTCGAGTTCAGCCGCTCAATAAACTCAAAACACTCATGAGTTCATATTTACACTCATTTATTGCCAGATGGTCTCCTCAAGCTGTAATTTGTTGCAAAGTTAATACATTCTAAACATTACCAAGTTAAATTGAAATTGTTAATTGATTGAAATAAGACAAACGAAAATGATGCAACACTTTAAATTTAATTGTAATTGTGCTAGTGCAATTTAAATAGTATTTCTTGATTAGGAGACATATATCTGTACCTGAGCTGGTGTGGAATTTGTATAACAACTGATTGATGTTATTTGGGCACTTTTGTAGTGGGCCTATTGGCCTCAGGTGTACCTCTTGAACCCTGTGTTATCTGCCGTCTCACTGAAGTCAAGTAAATAGATTGGGAGCTGGGGATGAACTCGGTGGTGTGGATTAATCATCTATGTTGACATATTTTCTGGATGGATGAACAACATTCCTGGTTGTTGGTCTGCTTCATGGACATAGACTGTCCAATCATAGGGCTCTGGTCACTTGCTTCATCATTCTCCGTGGCAGTCGCACTACAACCCTTGTGTTCCAGCAGGACACGCCTCTGCTCTCTAATTGAGTTTGTCCATCCACCAGAAGAGTGGCTTAAGCAGTGATAGTCCCTTTAACCTGAGCCAACATGGTGATGACTATTTTTGGCCGGCAAAGAAAGGATTGAGATCAGAGAGTCTTCTATCATGAATGGAACTAGTTGGTTTGTTGCTCTGAAGAGTCATGCATGGATCCGGAACACAACTACGCTCAGATAGACATAATGAATGCATCCAAGAAGGATTTTATAAATGGATACCACCTAATTTAGAACATTGCTGAAGTATTGGAACCTCTGCTGAAGTAATTATTTGATAAAATTGTAATTTTTTGATGGGAACTGCTTTTGTGTCACTCTTGTTTAATTGTTGATTTTTGTTTTCTAAGGCACAGGCTCCCAGTATTCTGTCTGCCCTGCAGGACGGCCTGCAGCCCTGTGGCCTTGCCGATCCAAAATGGAGAAACATCTGCAGGTCATTCATCTTGTGCTGCAGTGGGTCATCAGCTTCATGGCTCTGGGTGAGTGTGTGTGTCTGGGACCCCAGTGCTAAAGAGTTAGGGTAAGCCGAAGCATGAGAGGAAACCAGCAGGGTTTGTGTTTAGTCTCATTAGCCTTTTAAGTAGGTCATTTTTTCCCAGCTGCATTTTTTTCTTAAGTGGCCTAATAATAACGGTATGTATGATCTTATTTTCTTCCCAGGAGCTGCCTGCACGTTCTGTTGTTTTACATGTTCCTTACTGATTGTGGTTGATTGCTGCCATTTTTACACCGCATGGCTCATCTTTGACTGGAACACACCTAACAAGGTAATGTATCTGAGCCCTGAAACAAACTTTAGATAGTTTTGATTAAATTACAAAACATTTATTTTAAAATTAAGCATTATGATTATTATATTTTGCCTGTGTGGGTTTTGTCTTAGGTGGGCGTAGATCGTCTTGGGTGAGGGCTGGACAGTGTGGACCCTACTTCAGAGCCTACTTTCCAATCAGAGTAAGCTGACAGTTTTGACAGGAGTTGCTAAATGTCTGATAATACATAATAATGGGATTGTACCATATATTTGTTAAGGTACAGAAGAGACATCTAATAACATATTTATTATGAAGTCTTGGTAACGTCATCACTGAACCTGTAGTCTTGTTTATTGATTACCAGTGGTTGATAAGTTATCAAGTGAAAGCAATATCAGCTGTAAGTGCCATGCTGCTCCATGTCCTATGCTGATTATTTAATGAAAACTTGAGGATTTTGGACTTTGTCCTGCCAGATAGTAGCTCAATATAGTTTTTTTTCCATAAAGCAGAAGCACACCTGTACTCAGGCATTACTTGACTGTTTTCATCTGGCACTGCTCAAAGATGGACTAGGTTTATCTGAAAATAGCACTTCATGGTGTCCATGAACACGTTATTGTTATTGGCTGGACTTACTTTGAATAATTTGAAGCAATGCAGGAAGTGGACCCTAGAGGAGATGGAAAATCTAAACTGCATACTGTCTAACCACTACAGTAAAAATAGATAGTATGCAGATAACACTTTGTTTGCATTGATATGTCCATAAGGATCATCGTATCGGTTTGTTTTCTCTTTGATGTAACTTCCTAGAAACCAAATGTAAACAGGACTGTACAAATTGTACAAATTGTACAAAGAACAAGAAAAAAGAAGCTTTTTTGTAAGAAAAATTTTTTGGGGGAAAAATTAGTGCTCTCACTTTTTAAGTTAATTAATTATCCAAGTGTAGTGGCTGAAAGGGTTTTATTGCTTGCTTTGTAACAACCAAAAATTGTACCAAGCACTTTCTTGTTGATAATACTTTTTAATCGCAGGATCTTTCCGCATTATGCTTGTTATAAAATCTATTATGTACACAGCACACACACACACCCACACACATATACACACACTCCAGCATGCACACACAAAAAAAAACACATGTGCGCTACACAAAACCTCAGGGGTACATTTGACGAATTCAAAAATCTTATTTAACTTTAGTATCTTTCTTGTTTCTTTCTTAAATGTGTACTTTTGTAGTGTTATAAAGGAAAGGAAAGCTTTCAAACTAATGTTGGAGTAAATACAATATTCCAGCTCAATTTGAACAGCAACAAATTGAGATGATGCAGCATATGTTCAAAGTTCACAGACTGTGCACAGACTGTGATAATGTGCCATGATTATGACTGTACTTGAATGTGTTTGTGTCAACGTTAAGCTGATAACACTGTTGCTTTTCTTTAAAGAGGATGTAACTCAAACATATACTTATATTCTTTCAGCTTATTAAAACCCACAACTTATCTCCCAGTCGGAACTACATCTTTGGCTATCACCCGCATGGAATTCTTTGCTTTGGGGCATTCTGCAATTTTGGAACCGAAGCAACTGGGTTCTCTAAAAAATTCCCTGGCATCAAACCTTCCCTGGCAACACTGGCTGGAAACTTCCGCTTGCCCGTTCTTCGGGACTATCTGATGTCTGGAGGTGAGGAGGTGAACCAAATCTGGCCCATTAAAGTGCTCTAACTATAAGCCATTCCCTCTGCAGAGCGTGCGCCTTGTTTGTCCTGTGATGAGAATATGCTCTACACTTGTGTCTTTATGCCCTACACTTCATCCATGTTGAAATGATTGTTTAATATAAGCCTTTGTTAGACCTATTTTAGATAATTAAAAAGGCTGATAACACAATTTCACTCAGGAGCAACCTTTGTCCTGTTGCAGTACAGTTTCAAGGGTCAAAAAGCGTATGTTTGCATTGATCTGCTGTTTTGACTAATTCTCATTTACTGTCCAGTTATCAAGACTTATTTGCCAGAGTCTTAGAAGGTTTTGCTGTAGATGAGTTAAAGTTGATGTATATTGTTTAGAAAAATATATAATTGTTTTTTTTATTGTGCTCTTTTCCCAAAGGTATTTGTCCTGTAAACAAGAACTCTATTGACTACCTACTTTCATGTAATGGGACTGGTAATGCAGTCGTCATTGTGGTCGGAGGGGCTGCAGAGTCTCTGAATTGTGCACCAGGCTCGAATTCTGTAACCCTCAAGAATCGCAAAGGTTTTATCAAACTGGCCTTGCAGAAAGGGTGAGTACAATCATATTAAGCACTTACGTAAAAGTTAAATAAAAAAAATGGAATATGAATTACCAGTAAACAACAACCAAACTTTAGATTATTAAGAAGGTTAAAACTCTGAGGTTGTTTTTTAAAAGGTTGCGATTACATCACTGAATTAAAGATATTTTATAAGAAGAAAATCTTAAAGCTTGGGTGGAAAGCCCAGACGTGTGAGCCGGCATTACTCTTTGTGTGGAATTCACGCCATTAAATAAACTTTGTCTGGGTATATTTTCTCACCTTCTGAAATAAATCCAAATCATCCCTAAAGAGGATTACCAAAGAGCAGGGGCCATATTTGGCTCCACCAACAAATGCTCCAAACTATTCTTGAGATTACCCTTACCTCAATTTAGCTTTTGAGTGCTTTTTGAATTTTTGAATTTAACTGAATTTCTCAATAAAGTAAATATTTTCTAACCTTTAAAATATGTACCTGTTCAACCCCTCATCTTTATACCATCTGTCACCTGATTGAGCTTACAGTATCTACATACTTGTCTTATATTTCTCAGGTCCGATCTTGTTCCTGTGTATTCCTTTGGAGAAAATGATGCCTATAAACAGGTGATCTTTGAGGAGGGGACATGGTGGCGCTCGGTCCAGAAGAGGTTACAGAAACTGTTGGGCTTCGCTCCCTGTGTGTTTCATGGCTGTGGCCTTATCTTTGGTGACTCTTGGGGGTTTGTGCCTTATTGCAAGCCTATTACAACTATAGGTAAGATGCATAACTTCTTCAAATGTGTTCATTTTTCCCAATATAAATTATTACAATTTGACAATTCTGATTAGTATTCATACATAATATATTGTTGTTCTTGTTGCAGTTGGAGAGCCAATCACTGTGCCAAAAATTGAAGATCCAACTGAGGACATGGTAGATGTGTACCATTCAATGTATATCAGGTCACTCCAGTGCCTTTTTGACAAGTACAAAACACGCTTTGGTCTTAAAGAAAGTGATGTTTTGTGTATACAATAAGAAAACATTGGGAAAGTAACTGTTTAGCCACTGTCACATGCCATGTCCTGCCCGGTAGATGCACATATTTCAAATTGTCCCTAGAACTTTGCTTCCCATAGTACACACTGTATTTGTCAGGTCTATGCTGGTGTATAGAAAGTTGAAAATGGTGGGATGTTTGTGAAGTACAAGAAGCATACTCAGAGTGCCATTTGTAATGACATGCTATGAAGATTTCTATGAAGTGCCATTTTTCTTATGCATCTGTCATAAGCTTGTAGAGTGGGAAACGTGCAAGGCACAAGCAATGCAAATAGAAATACATATATAATTTATTCCTTAAATTAACATCTGAATGTTAATTTTTTCACGTGCCTGTGAATGTATTGCCATGAAGTATTAATTGTATTCTAAAAAGAATAATAGTGATGGAAAAATGCCTAGGTGCTTGTTCCATATATGTAATGCACTTTTGTACTATTGATGACTTTCACCAAAGGATTTTCCATAAGACCAATGTTATGAAGGGGTTTGTGTAGGTCTCCTGAATGTCTCAGTTTGCATGGTTATGTGGTGATTATACAGCAAGGGTAATTACATGACCAATGACCTGCCACAGCAAACTACAGTTTTGAAAATGAAGGAATGTTTAGTGTTTTCGAATTTCGAAACATTTTCTTACGTTAAACAGTGAAAAGAATATTGTTTTGTCAGCAGAATCTTGTGGATTTTTGTGCAAACAATAAACTCAATAATTGATTGAAATGTGTTCACCAGTATTTAAATTAAACTTTTATATATTTTCCAAAAAAGCATTGTGTCTTGTTACTGAAACCACCAGAAAAGTTGTTCACAGAAATACTGCCCCCCCGTGGTTGAATATATTCTAGCCTATTCTAGTCTAACCCTAACCAACAATTTGATTATTGATGAATAATTATTCATTTTTGCTGTCTGATGTTATCCTTTTTACTTTGCATTCCTTTTATAGTGGTTTAGATATTTATCCCACATAATCTTGTCGCTGTGCAACGGTCCCTGTCTTAGATCTAACATTTTTATTGCACACAAGCTGATCTTGCATGTGATGAACTACGCGACTTCCTTGAATTCTGCAGGTTTGACAGATATCAATAACTCCGCCCCGAACCAGAAGATAAACAGATTATTTGGCCAATGAGGAGAGAGCAAATTGCAAAAGGGCGGGTCCACAGATTGACAGGCATTGTGTTAGACCAATCAGCGACCTGATCGGACTTCTACACTTCCGGGAGACTGATTTCCGAGTCAACTGGAGCAAGAGCGCTGTACTTTGTTTACGTCCCACAATTGTTAGCTGACAGCTGTTGTGCTTCTGAAGCTACTATAAAGCTTGACAGTATTCACACCATAGATTTCGGTGACTTTACGTAGAGCATTACAGTGTCGAGCATGGCGTGTTTAGTTGAATGACGAGGCGACGCTAGATGCCGACAGGAGGATGAGCGCTATCGGTGGCCGGGTGCTCTCCATCCCCGCTGCCTCTGTCACCAGCTCTGGAGCCTCCTCTTCACGGGCTTTACATGTGGAGCTCACGTCTCAGCAGGTTCACACTTTCCTATTCTTGCTCTGTTTCACTTTGAAGTACTGTTTGTAAGCTGGTGCGCTTTGCAAACTTTCTGCTTTGAGGAAACATGGGCCTGTCAAACAAGCAAGCTAACAGATTAGCATCACATGCTAAGTGACAGCACGTTCCTCTCCATATTATTATAACGCTGTATTATAACAAATCAACGTTAAGTTAGTTTGCTACATTTGTTTCTTTGAACCCAGTGCATGGTTTTATACGTTTGTTATCCGCATAATTTCTACTCTAAGCGGAGTACTTTTGCTAATACTGTGGCTAACTTTGGTTACAGCACTTCTGACACAGGTTCACGTTTGATTGTTTTGTATATTACTGTATGACGCAGTTAACATTAACAGCGCACTCACACACTACAACTATGTACTTAAAATACTTAAAATTGTGTTCTGCTGAGTACAAGCAGCATTATTACATATTTACTACGGACCCATACTCTTCCCTGTATTGGTCATGTACTATGCAACCCCAAATGGCATCATCCGTGAGACAAGCAGGTGTTTAGACCATCCTACACCTTACTGCATATGCAAATCTGAAGCTTATAAAATGTATAAGTGAAATGAACAATGTAACGTGAATCTGTGTTGTTAGTTGAAGCCAGAGATGCACTAAAAGTACAATGATGAAGCTTCATTCAATTATACACATTTTACCTCATTGAAAGTTGTGTAAATCACATTATTCACAGCAGTTAATCAAGTTGTAATCATTCCTATCTAAAAGTCCTATATTGCACATGATCTGCACACTGACACACAACCACCTAAACAGGAAAAAGTCAAAACTAATGAAACCTAAACTATAAAAAAGTGTTTTTTTAATTTACATTGTGCTCCAAGTGCAATCCATTTCTGTGAGATAAATGTATTGTCAGTATCGCTATAGTATAAGCTGTGTTTTTTTTTACATTAATCAAATCCGCAGCAGTACCCTCGTGACCACCTAATCATTTTGTTAGGCTATCGGCCCACAGCTCTCATCGGCCCCGTAAGGTTTAAACGCTAACACAAAAGGAAGTGAGAATTTGAACCATAAATTCTAATAATTTTTCATGGTACATCTATGATATATTTTATAAAAGAGTAGAGTAGTGCCCCTTGTGGAACAATCAGTGTTTTTGTTTCCCTTAAACTTGTAGGGAATCCCATGACTTAGATTTAGTCTCAGTATGGTGGCAGAAGGCACGAGCTCTTTCAGTTAAAGTGAGCAGTTTCCAGTTGCTTAAGAAATATAACTTACCAAAATATGAACACATTATTATTATTGTAATAATAATAATAATGATAATAATGATAATAATTATAGGAGGACTTTGCCAAAATAAGACATCAATAGATCAGTCATTCACAATTATTTACTATTATTGATTAAGTACATTTTGAACAGACACACATCATGTGGCAGAACCAGTGTGAGGGGATAAAAAAACACTTTTAGGAGAAAGAACCAAGTCAGATGAACAGCAGCTGTTTTTTGGCTTAAATATTGTGCTTAGCTTAGCTGAGTTTAGTTTATTTGCAATACATATTCAAAATATATTTGTCATACTTGTAATTTTTAAGTTTTGTTTTTATTAGAATAAAATAGATGTATCAATTAGTGTAGTTACTTTAGGGTGTCAAATAGTAGTTGGTCTTAAAACATTAGTTCTTGATCAATGAGCCACAAGTGAGAACACTCATGTGACTGTCACCCCTCTCAAGTTATCCGCTCATTTACATAAAGAGTCCACTCTGTTGCCACACACTGTTTCCGTACAATTTGTGTTCAAACATGTATTTTCTTTCAAGTAAAACTCAAATCAACATTTGTGTTTTAATAGAGACGACTTCGGCATTTGAGGAGCATTGCGGCTCGTAACATAGTCCATAAAAATGGTTCTCCACTGCTGGACACCTATTTTACCCTTCACCTCTGTGTTGGAGAATGCATATCTAGAGGTTTGAAAGCACAAATTTGACTCTCCTTTTTGATTACTAAATATGAATTGTTATTATTTTCTCTTCCAGATTTTTATAAGAGTGAAGTTATTCGTGACTCACTGGCAAGTATTCTCTGAACAAGACTGAATTTCCGTAAAATGCATGCAACACATTTATGTAGGGCTGAAGCGATTAAACTGTTGCACATTAGTTCCGCCTGGAGCCAACACTACTCTGAAGACTGATTTTAACAATCAGTTTGAAATAATATTACAAGATTGCTTGAAATATGTACAATATTTATTTGTTAAATGTATAAATAAATGTATAAATATTATGCAATTAAGGGTGTGAAAAAGCTAAGAACTAATAATCAAGACTTCTTCTAAATAATCAATAGCTGCAGCCCTACATTTTCTTAAAGTGATAGTTGTTTTGTATCAAATATGAAATGGTATTTATAGCAGATTCTGCAACATTATATATATTAGCACTAATATATAGCACTAGTACAAACATCACAACTGTTTCTGAGCTAAATCTACTTTGCTTGAGAGTTCTGCTGAGACCTGCATTATTGTTTCCTGTTGTTTTTCCTGTGTGTTTCTCACAATTCCTGTCTTTCCTACTACATTTTCTACTTGCAGTTAACCTCAATTAAATGTAATATCTAATGCTTTTAATCTCTTAAATCTCTTAAATGATGATGATAAATGTAAAGTTGTGGTCTCGCCTAACGATGTGTTCTTTTGTTTGTCAGAATCCCACTTGGAGAAGTTTAGATTTTGGAATGTTACCAGATTTGTTGGACACCTCAGTGTCTTGTTTTGTGGTTCGAATATGGGGAGGTCGAGCAGAAAACTTTCAGTTGCTTATTGAATGGAAAGTGAACCTGGATGGTCTTAGATATACAGGACAACAGGTGACAAATATCTGTTTTTATGTACATTAAATATATTTTGACACACCCCCTTGTATTTCAACTTAAAATTATAATTTTGTCATCATAGATTCGATCTCGATATCCAAATGAAATTATATTTGGGTTGAATGATGGCTACTATGCAGCTGAATTTGATTATAAGGTGATTTATTGAAATTCATTTTTGCAAGTGTTTCAGTTGCAATAAACCACTAACTTATTTTCCAGGATGCATCCGAAAGGAAGAAGAATAGTCTACTTCAGGTGGAGCAGACCTCAGTCAGGAACTCCTACAGTGTCTTTTCTCTGCTCAGGTATCGTGCTAAAATTACAAATTGGGGTCATTTGTCTATTTTGAACATGAGTGCCTATTTGTAGGCAAACCTTTGTTACATGTGTGATCTACATGCAGGCTACTCTTAAATGCTCTACGTTTAGACACTTACAAATACGTGCTATAACTTTATAACTCTTCCACTAGGTTTGTCGGTCTTTCACATGGATCTATAATAATAGTCTTTCATCAGTTGGATACAAAGAATAAGCGCTGTACATAAACAGACCACTGGGAGGCAGTAGTGACCACTGCACCACATAACCAGCCTCTTAAACAAGCAGTAAAAGACGTGAACTCATATTCCACCTTTTCTTTTCTTTTCCAAAAGATATGACTCAAAATTATGGAGAATATTTCTATGTTAGATTCATTCATTTGTGAGTGGGATATGCCTCTGTTGGTGATTTAACAGAACTGCTCTATCCCATTGGATAGAATAAATAGACTGATAACAGACTTATGATAGATGCAGTTGAACACTGTCGCATTATGTACTGCTTTGTGATTTTATACTCTGCTTGAGAACCTAAATCTAAAATGTTGCCATAAACAAGTAGACGCCAATCCCATGGGATATGATTGCTATCCGTCTTGCTAACTTGTACCAGATGTGTTTTATATGGGTACTTCAAGTTCTCCAAACCTAGAAATTGAATTCCCTCTTATCCTGTGTATGTTGTGGCACATTTAGAAATAATGGCAATGTATTAAGTAGTTGTCTTAAAGAAAACATGTTTATTAACTGATGAATGAATACCCTTTTAAAAAGGGACTGATATATTTTTCATTCCAGTATGTATAGGACATAACCAAACCAGAACAGCTGCTACAATGAAATGTAACAGTGTAAAGACCAGATCAGTAATTAGAATCACACTTACTAGCCACATGATGGAGACAGAGCCTCATCAACAGAGGGAAATCCTCAACTTGGAAAAACATGATGTTGACAAACAGGTCAGTTGTACTACATAATATTTAAATTTAGACTTTAATTACTACTTTCAAGCCAACAGGGTTTCCCTCAAGGAAAACCTGCCATAAAACAGTCTATGCTGTGAGATAAGTGTATACTCTAAAAGGCTAAAATAGAACTGTCCAGAGCTGAGATCCTGTCATTAGGAGAATTGTGAGGATCTCCACAGCCTTTCTTTAGCTAAAATTACAAAACATAATGGGAACATAAACTAAAAATACTTTTGTAAGTGTTCCAATCACGGCAAGATTTGTGACTATTTTCTCATAACTCGACTGTTAGGTAAAACAAAATGAATATATATGGGTTTTGTTCCGGACTTTATTATTTATAATGACATTTCGTTTGATTGTCACTTAGACACTGAATGTCTTCTCAAACTCTTGAAACCTCAATATATGATCAGCTTCACCTAGGAATGAGCCATATGCTGGCCTTGTTTTCTGATGGTCAGGATCTAAATGTACGGACCGTACAATTTGTGTCAGTAGAAGCAGTGCCCTGCTAAAGTGAGCTCTTGGTGAGATTTCTCATGCCCTCTGGGGTTTATAAACATAATATACCATCCTGCACTGGTTTTTCAAAGGCTGCTAGAAAAACGTCTTCAGGGGCTTGTGCAACAGTGGACCTAATGCCTAAGCTTTCGTTCAGTCTGCGGATAAGCGCGGATGTGGATGCTTTTGTTTGCATTTCACGCCTTGAGTGTGGATTGGCAGAGAACACAATCGACTCCCTTTTACATACTTCATAAAGATTTGTTTTTGTATCTTTTTTTTCGAAGCCTGCTAAAGTAAACTGTTATCTAGGATTCTTTTTGTTGGATTTTTTAATTTCACATCAGATTATTCTTCAAACCTTTGTTGCACCTTGTCATCAGAGTTTGCCTTATACTGTGGTGTACAAAAGTTTGGGCTCCCTTATCAATTTTTAAATCTCTGAATCTCAAACACTGTGATATTTGATAAGTGAAATAAAGTTTGTATCATTAACAGAAAATGTGCAAGAATTATTAAATCCAAATTAGGCACATGCATACATTTATGTTGTACTTGTACCAGCCCCAGCACAACTTTTTCACTGATTCCTGGACATTGTTCTCCAGAATTTGCTGATATTGAGGAGAGTCCCTCAACTTTAACAAGATTCCCAGTCCCTGCACTGAACACACAGCCCGACAGCATGATGGAACCACCAACACATTTTACATCAGGTGTGCATAATGCCCCCTGTTATGCCCAAATAATTTTAGTTTAATCAGTCCACAGCACCTTATTCTGAAATAAAGCTGCAGAGAAAAAAGACTTCCATACAGCATCTCCTTATGTAAACTGTGCTGAATAGTCGATGCTCAGTGACACCATCTGCAGCAAGCTGATGTTGTCTTTGGAGTTGAGTCTGACTGTTCTCACTGTTAATCTCTGTGATAGCTTTTTGTATCCTTCCCCATAATGCCTTCTTCAGAAAAGATGCAAATTATCTTATTATTAATACTTACTCTTTCCTTAAGCGCCTTTCTTGACTCTCAAGGTCGCCTTACATTCAAGTAAAATGTAAATTTTTAAAACAGTGAAAATACAAAGTTAAAAGCAGCATGAACAGAGGATTGTGTGGTTATGAGGGTAGATTTTAAGTGTGTAAGTGAGTTGGTGTTACGGAGGTCGGGGGGAGAGTGTTCCAGAGCTGGGAAGCAGAGCGGCTGAAGGCTCTACCCCTCATGGTAGTAGGAGGGACCAGGAGCTGGAGGTAGCGGGAAGTTTTGGAAATCTGGAGGAGGTCAGTCAGGTATGGAGGAGCGAAGTTGTGAATGGAGGGGACACACTTGGGTTGGCCTACTTAAAACTGCTTTCTCATGATGGGATTCACCTGTGTATGGAAGTTACAAACTAATTTTGAGTTACAAAAATTAGTGCAAAATATATTGAAATCAATAACATTTTAAAGAGTGCGTTTATGCATATGCATAATTTGGTTTAAATTCTTCTACACTTTCTGTAAATTATAAAAACTTTATTTCATGTCTAAAAAATCACTGTGTTTGTCTCCTATATGATATATTTAACTGAAATTTCCAAACAACCAATGACAAAAAATGTAAAGGGGTGCCTAAACATTTACATACAAATGTAGCTGCATTTTCTACATTTGCCAAGACCACCACTCTGAAACATAGATTTCTACTCACCAGTTTTTTTTCTTTGCTTCTTCTGATACTCAGAAGATTAGATTGGCTTATGACATTGGATGTGGCCCTGTGTGACCTCATGCTGACTTTGCTGTAATGGCGCAAGAACAAATCCATATCACTAGCTTTAAATAAATTGCACAACTCAATTCTTTTATCTAACATGTTTATTCAATATTTACAGATGTCCACAATATATACAGTAGAAGGATCCATGAGTGTCTTTGATACTCTCTTACGGGAAGAATTAATGTTTTGTTCTTTTTAAAGGCTTCACACAGCACAAAGGGCCATTAAGCAGACACAAGTGACTGTGCAGAAGTTTGGGAAGGAGATTGAAGAGAAGTTGAGGACAACAGCCTCATGCACAGAGCGCGTAAGTGACAAGAAATGGTGTCCACTATCCTTACACTGTATTGTATAACTTGTATTTCCTCAGGACGGCCGAATATATTGTTTCATCAACATGACAGATCCTGCTCCTTAAAGTCCACAGAACTCTTGTATTTCTGCAATGAATGCCATTCATTCATTTGCACCATTTATAACGTTAAAGTTCTTTAGATGTCTCTTTGAATTCTAGGGGTATATTCTGTATTCTGAAATGTGTTGTAACTCACAGTGCAGATCAGTGGAAATAGTACGCTCTCACAAGAAGATGAACATGAACTTCATTCACAATACAAGTCTCATTCTAAACATAATTTAGGTAGTGCTGCTGCCTTAGCTCAAGTTCTTATCTTGCAAATGATGCAGTGGGACATTCCTCTGACACAATTAATTCTATTGAAAAAGCTGCCACTAATATTTTTCCCATCAGTTTATAAATCCCTAATCCTGATCCTTCAACTTTCTGTAAGGGCACAGCAACTTGGAGCCTTGAAGAGATTGCACCACTTTCAGCTTCCAAAGGAGCCTGAAGTTTCAATGTTGGTGGATCAAAGTAAAAGACACTTGGAGGCCACTAGGCCTCTCACCCACTTCATGCCATTCATCTGCCTGCCCCCCAGACTGGCTGCTTATTTATTCAGCTGACCCACTGCTGTTTGATGTTCCCTCACAGTCAGATGGACCTTTGCGCTGGGCTATAAGCCTGCTGTACACTTTCACTCTTCTAACCCACTTGTCAACTGAGCCACAGTGAGCGTGTAGGAGGCTCTTGGTTTGTGCCAAACAATTCCTAACATTTAACCCTTTCAGTGATAAGTCAGGTGGATCAATACACTGTCAAATGTTTGAAAAAATGCAGGAAATGATAAGCTTTTATTCATTACATCATACCATTGAAGTTCACATACACATGGTTGATATTTGGTCCAAGTTTAACGGTTAAAGGGAAATTCTACAAAATGTTTTGGATGGCCTTTTGACTGTAAATTGGTGGAATTTTAGCACACTCCTCCAGACAGAACTGATGTAGTCAGGTTTGTGGGCCTTCTTGCCCGCACCCACAAATGTTCAATCAGATTGTGGTCAGGGCTTGAAGTGTGCTTGGGGGTCACTGTTTACTTGGAGCACCCATCTGCAACCAAACTTAAAATTCTATGTTGATTTCTTGAGATATTGGTTCAGAAATATCCACACATTTTTCCTTTTCAATAGTGCTGCTGATTTTGTGCCATGGACCTGACCCTCCCACAGCAAAACACAGCCACAGCATGATGCTGCCCCACCCTGTACTTGATGGTTGTGATGGTGTTCTTTGGCATGCATGAATCCTCTTTTTCCCTCAAAAAATTTATAATTTTGGCCAAACAGTTCAACTTTTTTTTCCATGACGCCACAAAATACTTTGTCGAATCCCTATTTCCGTGTGCTTTAGCAAACTGCAGTCTGGATTTTTTTCTCCCTGGCTGGGCAACCTCTAAGGTTGTGTCTGTTCAGGACTTCAGCGGTTACCTACATATTTAAAATGTCCTTTGCTGCTGTTCTCTGAATTATTAGCACTTTTTGCACTAAAGTACGTTCATCTCTAGGAGACAGTGCGTCTCGTTCTTGAGCGATATGTTTGTTCTGTTGTCCCATTTTGTCTGTACTTGAATATTATTGTTAAAATGGAATACCTTCAGGCTTCAGATGAGCCCGACTTGTAAAGTCCACAATCCTCCTCCTTGGGCCTTGGCTGATTTATTTGTATTTTCCCATCATGGCAAGCACCAAACCTTTTATACACACACATTTTGTATTAGGCATGAAGTCTATGAGAAAGTTTGACTTTATTTTAAGCGGTTTAAAGGGGTATGTAAACGTCTGACCCTCTGATAGTGTGGGGTGTTGAATAAATGCTGAAGTCCAAATTTTCTTTAATACTAATTCCCCTAATATTTTGACATTTAACATTATCAAAGTAATGTAGTGATGCATCTGAACAGATACATTCTGTTCTGACTTCTATATTAGGAATGGTGAAATACTCGGCTGTACAATTTTTGTGTGTGTAAACTTGTGCAGAGTAGGAAAAAAGTAATACATTATGTATTACTTGTTGCTGTTATTTAAAAGTAATGTGTTACACTACAATATTACTGTCTCTGAATTGTAAAGCATTAAACTATACAGCATTACTTTCAAGTTACTTTCACCAAATATGTATGCATACTAAATGTAGCTCATTATGCTATTGCTAAAAGTAGCAGGCTGATTTCTGAAGTCTTCCAGGCAATATTATTTGCCTGAAAGCTACAATGCTCATGAATGGTGCATACAGTGCAGGTAAATGACCCAAAGCATATTACAAAAGAGGAAGAAATGAAATCATGCAATGACCTATAGTCAATTCGATTGGGCATGCATTTAATTTACAACTGAAGGGAACAAGCTTCATGAAAAAGGATGAAAATGAATTCAATCGAGGCCTAGCACAGCATTCAGAAGGATAAAACCATAGGCTGTATATAGATTAACAATGGTAACCTCCAGCTCAACAGAGCCCAATAGTGAGTGAAGTTTTGCTTCAACTCGCTCCTAATCGCGACCATGGTGTACACGCCACAGCAAAGAGCCTGCCACCAGTCCATGCACATGTTGGCACTTCGTGTGTGATGTGAGAGGGGTGTAGGCCTAGAGAGTGATTGGCCTGTGTCTTGTCTGAGTGTGTGTGTGTGTGTGTGTGTGTTTGTATGTGTGTCTGTGTGTGTGTCTGTGCTGTCACATAATTATTCTTTTCATGTGTTTTGCTTCATTGTTTTGTTTTTGGGATTGGATCGATTCATAAAGCTTCCTCTTCTTCCAACCCCTTTTCAAATCCCATACTTTAACAAACATCTATCTGTGTAGTGTTGTACTGAAATGTTTGTTTTGTTTTTCATCTCCCATAATGCAAATTTGAATCTGTTCACTTGTATTAATTGTCTGTTTGTCAGTTAAATTCAAGCAGCTCCCTTCAGGAGCAGGCAGCCTGCCATTCCCATGACATGGCCTCATTACTTTAGCTTATCAGCAGTTTATGATCTAGAGGCTCAGAAGATGTTTTGAATAGCTCTTATGTTCTCCTTCTTTCTTGTTATATTTATTGACAGTGATGCAAGGATTATAGACAGTGAGTGCTTCTATTGTAGATATGTGTGAAATTCAGTGTGATTTTGGATTACTTTTTTTACAGAAGGCCATAGAAATTTGGATGTCTTTATAGAAATAACAAATGCCATACATTTTTGTGTATGCAGAAAAAGGAGCGGGAATGTATGCATCTGCGTATAGCTGTACTGCGCAGTGAGCTGGAAAGACAGACCAAGGCACTGGGCAGAGAGACCGACTTACGACAGAAAGAAAGAGCTCAGCTTCAGAGAAAAGGTAAACACACAAGGACATGTCATTGTTAAATTGAATTTAGGAAATTAATCGGCTTTTGACAAAATCGAATTTGTGAAAAAATTGAAAATCGTTAAATCGAATGAAGGATAATGTGAGAGTTCCAACAGCACATTAATTGTACTTGCAATATCAGCACAGTCTGTAAAAGACTTTTATAATACGTATTGGGGGAAACAAATTAAAAATAGTTTTGAAACTTGAATATTGAGCGGAAAGATCAAAAAATATTTTGAAGGGCAAAGTCTGTGGTGACTCATGAAAATAAAACAAAATCGTCCAAAGCAGGAAATAAAATCTTGATTTTCTTTTTTTCCATATCACCCAGCCCTAATCCTAAGTAGGAAATCTGAAGCAAAAAGCATGTGGAAGTGCACAGGCCGCTGCACCTTCTGTTCGAAACCTGCACTCAGCGAGAAATATCAAGTATACGTGCTCCCCGCTGCTATAAATGACTGTTGTTGCCTGCAAATTGAAGCGACAGACACATGGCTATCTGGCAATTTGACTAAATACTGTGGCAGCCCTGTACAAATAGGCTTAAGTAATAATATAATATGTGAAATAAAATCTACATGAATAAGCCTCCTCCTATGACGCGCTCCTTTAATCAGCACAGAACAAATCCCTAGTCCAAATATTGTTTCCCTTCACCTTCAAATGTGCGTATGCAGAAAGAGAGAGCCGATGCATTAGTGGCAGAAGGAGACAATTGATCTGCAGGAGATGTGTGCACCACACACACTCAAACTAGAGCACTGTACAGACGCAGTACAGAAACACAGATGAGAAGGGGGTAGGGAGTGAAATTAATCTAAGCGATAATCGGGTATGGGGTGCTAAACTGTTGGTCCTAACAGTAGCAACTGCAATTTCAGTGGACATTTTCACTGTTGCACACAATTGAATGGATTTTGTGGGTATTGTTTCTGTGCTAAATGTGCAGGTATCCCTCCGCTCCTCGCTGATAATTTTTGCGTGCACACACAAGCACACTCCCATGATAATACTCCCTTTACCACCAGCCCTACTTTGCCCTTCTCTGGCAGCTGGTACCTGTTATGTGGTGCCACAATGCCAGTGGAAACGCTCCAAATTGGGATACACTAGGGCTGGTGGAAATGGGGCTACAGTATCCATGAAAACCGATGTGTGAAATAAACCATGACAGATTTCTTATAGTTTGTCTACAAACTATATCAGGCATATTCAAAATATTAGTTATATCCAATATTGATCTGTTTAAGCCAAATAAGCAATAGATGGAGGTAAGATTGCCCTGAATAATATACGCTCTGTGTTCAGAAACTGACTGTTGTTGCCCAAGGTCCGTACCTGAGCCACTGTGGTTACAAAAGTGTGTTTTCCTGACACGTGTTCCTGATAAAAGAAGTCCAATCCACTATTATGAATGACAAAAAGGTTCTTTATTTTCCAAACATTACATACACGGTCCACACTATGCAACACCTGTTTCCACTAATCAGCAGTCTTGAATAGTGGGAGGTATTCAGCAAATCTAGACTACCCTGCCACATAGTGGTAGGAGGTGTATATGGCGGCTACACACCGGCCCCTTAATTGTTTGCAGCAGGGGCCAAAACAATTACCATTATAGCAAGAAACCATATACAAAAATACAGCATGTTATTCACAATGTTTCAATAATCTACTGACATTTCAAATTTTACACTTTTTATATATATATATATATTTTTTTTTAACACCATTGCATTTAGACAAATCCTTCAGAGATACAGCTCGAGTCCAAGTGATTGTTAAACAGTTCCACCTCTTCCTTTTGAAAGCCCTTGGATGCTTGACTTTAAAAAAAGAGGGTGGGGCAACCACAACATCCACAAACCTGGAAGGATTGTCCAAGGAGAAAATGCAGGGTACAACATCCCTTACTGCCAAGTCCAATAGACCTTGGACCTCATATCTCAGAAGCTTTGAGTGTCCTCCATCTAAATCCACTAAGTGCAATCAGTGTGGCCTGTCCAACCCTGTCCTTCAGTCCTCAGAGTGCCTCCTTACCAATAGGGTTTTGACAGCTTCTGGCCCTGTGCCTTCACTGTTAGCTTCCTCTGAAGACAATTTGGAGTTAGTTTCTTCACCTGTAGGCATGAGTTCAGTTTGTTGTAGTCTTGGAAATGGTTCCTGGAGGTTGTGTTCAGCGGTGAGTGGAAAATACTCTTTGAAGAGGTTTTTGTCCGTACCGGCCCCTGTATATCCACCCAGTGAGGAGTCCAGAATAGTCTGAGGTGATGGAGAAACAACATGTTGATCATACGAGCAGAAAGAGCAAGGTCAATTTCACAAAGAGTTAGTGCAGCTTTACTGGGAGGTATTCAACAAATCTAGACTACCCTGCCACTACCCGGTGTATATGGTGGCTACACTGACGGATACATTTTATAAATGAGAAGGCTATATAGCTTATCTGGCCCTTAGCAGTGCTCAAAAAAAAAAAAAAGTCTTGAATGAACTGGATTCAGGTGTCTTTCAGCTGTTCATGACAGTTTAATAGCATGTGTAAGTACATTGCTATGCTGCATATTCCCAAAGCATGTCCCAGATGCATTGTTAATCTGTGCTCTTCGTCACGCTCTTTAGGATTGTCTGAGTACCTGGCCCTGTGGTCTTCAGATCTCTGCCGTCTTTTGGCCGTTAATATAGAGTTGGCAGATGAGGTGTGGAGATGTGTCTACATTTTCTGCAGTGGTTATTTGTAAGTCTGTTTGGACATGTTCAAGCTCATGGTGTTACACAACAATGTTGTGTCTGTCACAAGTAATGGTAAAAAAGTGTGCCTGAGAACCAGGCCTTTGGGCAGCTATCTGCAGCTTCAGCCTCCTTGAAATGGCTTCCTCTGGGCTTGTTAGGAACAAAAATAACAAAATAAAAAAAGAATAAAAAAACAAATAAAATATATAAATATAATATATATATATATATATATATATATATTTATATTTAATATAATTAGTGCTGTCAGTTAAATGCATTATTACCGGTGTTAATGCAAAGTCTTTTTTTATTGCACATCTAAAGTTATTTTTGTTGCAACAATGAGTAATGTTTGTAAAAAACACCTATACGGATGAAGCAGAGGGCCTCTGACAAAGGCGGAAGTCTACCGCCGAAACATGTCAGGTAATTAAGCAGTATGAGCTTCTTTCTTCGTTTTCCTTTAGTATATATTTATAGTGCTTTTCTTACTATAGAAAAAGAAAAGAAGCTCATTCTATACGGGCAAATCTTGGCCATTTTGAACTCTATGATCTGTAGCAGGGCCACAGAACTTTATTAAATATTTTTGAAGGAGAAAGCATCGAGTATTAATTCTTACTAAACCAGTTCCAACTCTGCATGTAATGCACCATACCAGTTTGTCCATTCTGTGATTCCAACTGGATCAGGTTAGCAGGATGAAAGCATGAAGAGATCGATGGGTAAAACAGAGAGGGCAGACATGGGCACTACATGAAAGCAAATGTGTAGCTCAGGCTCACACCGTTTGTGTTAAAATATGTTTTCTTGTCATCACTTTTGGCTGAAGGATGGCCTGCCTGATTTATACCTCACACTATCTTCTCTGGACCTTATCTGATGGCGATAACTGTGTTTGCCTCCATTCTGGAGTTCGCTTTCCCCTTTAGTTTTTGAAGATAGTCTGCTGCCAAAAACTGGAAGGACTTTTTGTTTATTTTTATACATTAAAAAAGTACAATTTGAAGTATTTGTTCCCCCAAACAGATTTTTATGAAAGAACCAATTTGATGAGAAAGAAAAAACACTTGAGAAAGCTAAAGGATACATGATTTTGCTACTTTAAATAATTTAAACAATTGCAAAGTGGGGCTTGTGAACATATGCAGCCCACTTTTCTTTGAGTACAACCAATTGCTCTTCTCGTTTCCTGATGAATGGTCAAATGTCAACTATTAAGTAGTCCAGAGTGTAATCGAATCTCAGTATGATTTACACTAGAGAGTTTAGGGATGTATTGGGGAGAAGTGTTAAGCATTGTTTAGCTTTACAAATATTTCCAAAAATAACCGCTCACACAAGAACAGCACAGCGCCTGGATGCAAACACGAGGCTCATGGATACTCTGGAGGAGAAGCAGGCATCCCACCTGGGAGAATCTGTGCACGGGGAAAATATCCGTCATACACGTCACAAATCTGGTGGTAAACAGAAAGCCACTGTTGAAAAAAGCTAAACGGGGGACACATCTAACATGTGGAAGAAGATACTGTGGTCAGATAAAAAAAAAAACGCGATCTGTGGTTGAAAACTACACTGCTCATCACTCTATACTCACACCAAGCCCACTGTCAAACCTGGTGATGGTAGCATCATGCTGTGGGGTTTCTTTTCTTCTCTTCTTCATTTTCCGCATATGTCAACAACAAGCAAAAGTGCAAACTATAAATATCCAGGTAAAAGAAGAACATTTAGATGAACCAAAGGAAAAAAAGAGAGTCCTTCACTAGGATATTTGAGGAATGCACCTTTATGGCCTGTTTAAATAAACGCTCCAATCCATTGTCAGTGCCGTGTTTTTCTACCCCAGCTGCCTGGACTGTAAAACAAACAATAAATTGATTATGAAAATAACACAATTATTGTCAAAACTCCACAAATGAGTGTGAGCTGGTTACTGTCTCTTTATGATGTTTGACATTATACCAGAGTGATTTCTGTTTTATTGGCGATCTGTGAGCTTCAATTGTGTTTTGATAAGTTCCTCATGCTGTGATATTATCACATTGCTGACTGGCTCTATATTTAGTCTTGTCTGGCCAATCCTGTAATCTGCAGACATATGTTGTTGGGTTTCATGTGGTGTCTAACAGAAATAATTCATGGTGTCGTCAAAAGATCTGTCTGGAGGAAGGCAGGCAGCTCAATACAAGCTCTTCTGGCTGTTCACGTGTAGCAGCAACAAAATGCATGCCTGTAAGTTCCTTTTTTCTCATTTCAGCGGAAAGCTTTTCAGTTCAACACAACAGTCTGAAGCTCGAGAAAGAATCGCTCATCAAGTTGAAAAAGGAATGCACCGCCAAAAGGTATAAAGCAGCCTACAATTTGGTGTTGATTTATGAATGCATACACAACACAAGCTTCTAATGAGCCTTCCACTCATCAGATCAAAAACAAAAGATGATCTGGCCCTCTGTTGTTGCACTTAAACCAAACATATACTTTTTATCTTGACAACATATTTATTGTCATTGATTCACTTTTGTAAATATCCAAGGGGGGTTAGACTTGTTGAGTCGTGCTTGGCCGTCTCAAGCACCAAGAGCTCTAAAATTGTCAACAAGGGCAAAAGAAAAGGTGTGAACAGGCCCTGTGAGATGTGCGTTCTGGGTAAAATGAAGCGTTTCAACTTTGCGATTCATCCATTTCAGGTTGCATGTTAAGGGTTAGGGTTAGGACATGAAGACAGGAAACCCACTGTCCACATGTATTCTGTTCTGACCTAATTTCAATAATTTGGCTGTGTTGGAGTGAAAATTTGCTTATTTCAATCTAGCAAGCAATAGAATCAGAGACACTCACATCCCTTAACAGAAACTCAGCAGAGTGTAGATCCACACTGTCTAACAACTGGTCCTGGTCTTGGTTCAATCCTGTCCTGCTGTCCTCTGTGTGCTGCAGCTTCTAAAACAGCACTGATGATACCTGTTTCTTTCAGGGTTTTTTATCTCATTCTCTGAGCTCATAACTAGACGAGACAATAAACCAAAGACATTTAAAGTAAGCCTCAAAACTAGATGTAAACTGATACATGATTTAAAAAAAAGAAAGAACAAAAAAGAAAGGCTAATACTATAACTAGTAGCCTGTCGCAATATGCATGGACATTTTGGTCAATTTCATTGAAATTATGCTGGTTTCCAGACATTGCATTTATCATAAGCAGCTGCTGCATACAAGTGAACCAAGGGGATCCCTACAGGTTCATGATTATCACGCTCCCTCTGTCTGGAGAAAATATCTTTACAATATACCATGTTGCCATGTTGTTTATCACAATTATATAACAAAATAATGATTTATATATGGTCTAAAATAGCCTGGGTAATACCAGACTAAATAGATCAAGTTGTGCAGTTCTAAATAGTAAAAGAATTTCAGGCCTATTAATTTTTCATAACAAATATGTTTCTCTAGAGAACAGCTCCTTAAGTCGAATGCCCAGCTCACCTTCCGATGTCGTCAGCTCCTTTCTGAGCTTTCTTACATCTATCCCATAGTTTTGGTGAGTAAACGTATGATAATTATGCATTTAGTCAGCAGCCACTGGTGATTATTTAAATTACTAATATCTTGAAAACTTGAATTTACAGACAAATCAGACAGATTATGTCATTTGTGGAGTGAAGCTGCCTAACTCTGAGGACTTTCAAGGTAAATGTTTTTATCCCCATTTTTTGTTGTACTATTTATGCTCTTCACTTTTGTTATTTGTTAAAACAGTTTTCCACATTGTGTTTGTTATTTTATTTGGGCTTCGGGAACTTTCTTCAAAGACCAACTTCTTAGTTTATTTATTTTTAAGGATTGCACTAAATTAGAATATTTTCTATATACATCATTGTGACATCTAATACAATGATAATGTAATTTTGATCATATGAAGATTGTTACACTTCATAGTTTTGATATTATAAATACAATCTACATTACAAACAAATTAACAGAATTACAGCAGTTTGTGTGCCTCCTATTAAATATATAGAGCCATAAATATGACAATTGTGTCCTTGTTCCAATACTTATGGACTGATATAAGATATCTTATAATTTATAACACACACATAATTAGACAAACTAATCCCAATTGTGAAGTGCAAATCCTTGCTTTGAGCTTTAGATTTTAGGTTAAAATAATGGTCCTCACTGGTCAATCCTCATTTTCATGAAACAACTTGTGTGAGGTCTAGATGGTGGTCCTAATTTAGTACTCAATTGTCTCAACTGATGTCAAAGGGAGTTTAAATTGGCCTTGGGGCTGAATATTTCACACTAAAGGTCAGGGTCAGAAGGAGCTTTAATCCTTTCTGAGGTCATTATGGTATTGTCCCCTCGTCCAACAGACTTCTCTTATCAGTTTTCACCCTGACGAGGCATGTGTAGCCTTCAGTTGCACCCAACAGTGTCATTTTCAAGTGTCCCATTGATGACCTTCAAGTAGTGCCGTAGTATAGTTTACTGAAGACAAGCCAGTACTAGATTTTAGTTACTAATTAAATACATAAACATCCATTTTAAGAGCTATTTGAATGTGTTTGTGGTACTAATTTAAAAAAGTGACTTGTTTTCATGAAAGACTTTCTGCTTATTATTTTCCAGCAAAAGATGATGGGAGTGTGGCTGTTGCACTGGGATACACAGCACACTTGGTGCTAATGATCTCCTGCTTCCTTCAGATTCCTCTTCGGTATCCTGTAATCCATAAAGGCTCACGCTCTTCCATCAAAGACACAATCACCGATCGACTCACTGACAAAGAGAGAGAGTAAGTTTTAAGTTTGGGTAAATAGTCGTTTGTTTTGGTTCACAACTCCTCATGCTGTTCTGTGTTGTCAACTTCATACAATGCTGTTTTTTCTATAGACACATTCATGGAGAAAGGCATACATCATGCAATCTTTTGTGACTTGCAAATGCTAATATCATATCCTTTAAAAGACGCATACATTTTTACGCAAAAATGTATCTATGTCTGGACCTTTTTATGAGTTATTCAAACTCATTGTTATATGCATAGTTACAGCACAAGTAATGAAATTATTATTTTAGTATGTTATGGTCTTGTAACTAGGAATCATCTTGGGAAATAAAAACACTTTTTCATGATAATTATAAGCTTCCGAGCGAACATTTTGAGTTTCACCTGACATACAGAGATTGGAATCTCATCCATGCATTACCATCTTCAGCAGGAATGATAAACTCAAGATTATTCTGTAATTAGCGTTGCTACTATTTACTGTGTGCACATAATTGTACAGTTCAACTGAATAGCATCGATTTGAAATTCCCTAAATTTATAGTCCTGCTTATACTCGTCCACACAAAGATGAGACAATGGCGCTTTCAGTTTTACAGCCAACAATGTCTGATTATATTAACAACAGCGGAAGGTATCATTATTGTAACCTTTTTCTGACATGTTAATTATATATATCTTGCTCAGATTTTAAGACTCTGAAGTAAATAAAGTATGAAAATATTGATTAAAGAAGATGGCACAATAGCAACAGCTAAAAACATTATCACCACTAGCAGAATGTCGTCGTCCCTGACTTGGACCTCGGCTCCTCCTGCGTCTCTCTGCCTGTGCTTGTTTGTGACCTCTGAGGCCCTGCATGCAGCAAATGATGTGTGCAAGACAGAAAGCAACTAGCGGAGATCTAAAAGGGTACAAAAAGGGGGCGATTAAAGCGTTGGAAAGAGGCTGCCAGTTGTGATAAGTGAGGTGACATGGGATCAGTTTCTCAAAGTGTGCAAGATTAGCAAGTCAATTATAATGGTGTACTTATGGAAACCTTCTGCTGGTTTAGGTTAATTTAGGTAAACTTTATAATATTTCTCATGAAAAGTGTTGAAGATCAATAGAATTTTTACTTTTGCAATTTATTTTTTTAATTTTGTTCATCTAAAGTCTCACAATAATATATTTTTATAAAAAAAATTGCCATGCATTCTTCTGGTCTTTCACTTTGTTGGATCTGAGCTGGACTCTGAGGACATATTGCACCCACATTTTCTCCTGGAGAGTCCAACACAATGATTCTGATTGCAGAGGCAATACTGTGAGGATGCAGTCCAGATGTCCACTGTTTGATTGAGACCAGAGCTCTGCCATTAAGCGGAAAGCACCGGCTACTATAGTCTAGTGCCTAAGTACTATTACTACTACTATTAGGACTGCAAATAAGGAATATTTTAGTGATAGATCAACATTATGTGTATAATGTCTTGTGTCACTTGGCTTAATGTAGGAATAATAATATTTACTGCTTGTTTTAGTCTGGGTTTAGGTTCAACAATTATTTTCAAATTAGTCCACAACTATTTTGAAAATGACCTTAAATAAGTTAATTTAGTTTATTACAACTCTAATGGAAAATGTGATTAACAATACTTTTAAACACATTTTAGTTTCATTCTGCCGTCATTATAGAATTATCTGAATGACAAAACCTCTTCTCAGTATGTTCAAGTCTCGGTAAAGCTAAAAAAACAATCGATTACTAACTATTTAAATAATTGATTAGTTGTGATTAATTGATCATCTTGTTGTAACCCTAAATACATGATTGTCTTTGAGTCAGTTAAAATATTCACTATTGGGCTTTGATGTCACATTTGAACAAATCGTATTTAAGCCATTATTCAACTTCAAAGATATGTTCACTGGGACATACTGGTTGCCTCGCTTCTGTCAGTGTGCCCCAGGGCAGCTGTGGCTACAGAAGTAGTTTATCATCACTATGTATACAGTGAAAGAATGACATGTGAAGCGTTTTTGAGTGTCAAAAAAAGCGCTATATAAAACCGATGCGTTATTCATTATTATTAGTAATGATAATAATCAGGAGAAAAATAGAGAGAGAGAGAGAAGCAGAGAAGTTCTTACTTAAATGCAAAGAATACTTACTTAAATCGAATGCAATAGCTGACAGCGGATGTTAGTCATATCACTTTAGGATGAGTTTTAACTGTTTGCCTGTGAATATAAACTATATTTTAAGTCTTACTCAGAAACAGAGAAAAACAAATATAATCTAAAGGCTCTTGGTTAATCGTACACGCTGCGATGTAAATGGTGTGACAACAGAACACCCACTACATAGTTTGTGTTTTTGTTTTTTAACCTATATTAAAAATGACTGCTCTGTGCTTTATCTGTTGATTTCTGCTATTGAAGCCTGCAAGAGATTCGTTTATTTAGGTGGTTTTGAAATTTATTTTTTGATAAAGGCACCAACCAGGTCTACTCTTAATGAGGATGTCAAACAGGCCCAGCCTTGAAATGTTGTGCTCAATCCACCTGCTCGCCCATTTTCAGAAGTCTCCAGAAATGTACAAAGCCTGTAAAGTAGGGCCTGAGCGCCTACACTAACAGCTGTGTCCTCCTTTACTGCTGGGGAAATTGAGTTTGTTGAATAAACTATAACATGCTTAAACATTCAGTTCAAGCCCCCAATGGTTTGCACAAAAGCTACTCTTTGCACTTTGTGCCCTTGTCATGTAATAGTTTGTCTTTAACGAGGAGGCCTCAGGACAGGACGACCAGTTTAACTAATAAGACAATGCAAATGAGGTGTCTGCACTGCCTTTAAAGACAACGAGCCACAGTTACAACATTTTTGTCTTTTGCAGTCACTTCACTGTTGACTGTCAAATAGTTATGTGTCCTGACACCTGCTCGGAAGTTTATAACAGGGCACATGGCTTCAACATGAAAGAATTTGAAATCAAATGTTTTTCAGCAGGAAGAGACACAGCTCTGGAGTGTCATTATTGAAGTAAGAGCCGGATGACGAGCGTGATGACTTCCTCCAACTTCATCTTAGTGTTACTGCTGTCTTCTTTTAACCATTATGTTTTATTGCTTCTGCTGATGTGGCACCTACTGCTGAACATGCACCAACTGCCCGTCCTGTATCGCCCTTGGCTTATTTTTACTCCCTCATAAAAAGGGGTACTTTCATGAAGTGCATCTTTTTATGTTGGATTTCTTATTTATTACATATTCTTGAATTTTCTCAACAGTCTAGCTGCTAGCACGCTGGGCTACCCTGCAGCGCCCTGAAAAGCAATGAGGGGAGAAGAATGTTAAAGATTTACTCATGCTGTCAGTACACTGTCATTGCATGTTCATCTTTTCGCAGAGCACCCGCTGTGAGGATGATTGGTTAAATAGAAGCAGATTGCAAGTTAAAGTAATCAGTTTTTACGTACATGGATGCAAAAGTGTGTGGGCCTGTTGATTACACAGCCTGCCAAAATGAGTTTTCAGTGTTGCTGATTTCGCAGACATGACCCTTTAACAGATCTGCCACTGGAGAGATTGTGAGAAAATATGTGCTGATAGAAAATACATTGTGATTAGGTTCAAAGTGAAAAAACGAGGGAAAGGCTGCTGAGATAAAGATTGTTTGACTTGATAGAAGCTAACAGCAAAACTAAACAAAGAAGAAGAGAGCAGGGGTGGCAACAGTTCAGTCATTTCAATACAATGTAAACATGTAATTGGTCCCAGTGTTTCCAATGTTAGTCAGTGAATCCATGTGTTTGGTTATTGTTTATTCTAGACCTAACATGCCGATGATGCGCAGAATATTCCTCCAGAGAATCATGTTAAGATTTGGAGGAATAATTGAATATGTCCACTCAGTTACTTGAAGGTGACTGTAATTTGACATTGACGTGGTATGTGTGATTAATTCCCAAACCAGAATAGATATAGACAAAAAAAAACCTCCCAAGCCTCCACCAGCAGGGCCCCCTTTCCCTCCTCAATCCTCCCTGCTGTATTGTAATATATTTGACTTTACTGGACCTTCACCAGGAGGAATTCCACATGTTTGGTGAACCAGAATCTCTCCACTGCAATTTCAGACTCGCTGGACAGGAGTCATTAATCACAAAGCTGTGACAGAGCTGGTGTGCGCTCATATGTTTGTGTGTGTGTTTTGGAAGTGCCTATGTTTTTCTTTTCCTTCACGGTCATCGCCAAACAAATCCTATCTGCTCTTGAGGAAGTGATATTAGGATTGCAGTGTGTAGATGGAAAACTAAGTCTTGTTTTCTTCCATGTGTAGCTCATTATTTCCTCGCACTATAGAATGTTCTCTGGTAGGATTTTAGCAAGCCATTGGTGCCAATGTGTACAAATTCAAAAACTTTATGTATGTGTCTACTTTCCATTGTCTCAACTATAAAATGTCAAATTTAGCTTTTTCAAGAAGCAAAAGATCAACATTCAGTACTCTGTTGAGCCTATTACATTTGGTTGATGAAACCAATATGAAACGGTAGAAGAGCGTCTCAATCTGGCCTTTATTACCAACTAAATACTCAAGACTGGTTTTATTTTTGACATACCAAAACATTTTATTTGTTTTCTGAGCCATTTTGTGTTCCTCAGCTGTGTACATCAAAGCTGCTACTATAAGGAGCAATAATGATTCTAAGTACCCGTGGTGTCCTGTGAATTGTCAACGTTCGAGGAAGTGTTCTCCGCAGCGGTGTGTTTGCTTCAGGCACCTATAGGTCATAGGAAGAGAGGATAAAGGGACCCATATCTACTCTCACCCAGGATTAAAGGGAGACCATGACCCAGTCCCCAGGGGGGTAACGCACAGGAAGGATATATCTCGGATGTACAGTTGCACCAAAGAGTCCGCACATGTCTTTAAACTCAGGCCAGTTCGCTCCGGAGTGCATCTGTTGCTTCTGGCAGTGCCGTCGTGTAACAGAAGCAGGAGGCTTAGAGGATTGGTCATACTTTCGTCACACACCATTTAGCTTGTTCCACATGCATTTTTAGAGCTTATGCTTATGTTTAACACTATTCATGAGCTTTTTTAAAACGTTTTTTTCCCGTATGTATTATGTGCTATTTTTAGAAGAAGATAATTTATAGTAAATGTATTGTTTGATTTTATACTGTAACAGTAAGTACATATAATTTTGGCTTTTCTTTAAATTCTTCTTCTATAGTTAATCTAACCAATACCCCTTATTGGCATGTATGTGCTGTTCTTTTTGTGCCAGCGGGATCAAATGTGTCTACTCTGAAGTTGACTGTTTGAATACGTACTTGAATTCTTGTTTGATATTTTAGTTTTTCAATGAACGAGAGGGGTGGGATCCTACCGCCCAGACTTTCTGCACTGGGCCTCTGTAGTTTTTCTTACTTTGTGACTGCATTACGGACTATCAGCTGCCAACTTCTATATTCAAATATGAACTTTGGACAGAAATTTGGGCACAAGGGGCAGTTGTGGTCTAAGAGTAACTGGTTATGGCACATAACCTGCTTTCAAATGTTATCATATATTGTTAGAATATTGTCATTGGCAATATATTTTTTTTTTTGCTTGCTTGTATGCGTATGTTGTCATGTAACAATGTTTATCTTGTGTTGCCCTTTCTTGCAGATTCCCATTGTACCCACGGGGAGAAAGATTTCATTTTGAATACGGTGTCTACCTGCTGAACAAGAACATTGCTCAGGTAAAACATTTGCATTTGCTCCATCAATTTTAGAGATATTTGAAATACAAATGTGTTTTTTAAATTACAAAAATAGGTCACCCAAAAAGGAAGCCAGAAGGTAGACAGACTATAATCCTAGCTCTTAGGGGAAGGTAGTGTCACACTTGGCACCTTGTTATTAATGCTTGAAGGCAGATTCTCCTTTCCATGTCTCACACCTCAGGGGAGGGTTGCACTTCTGACCGAGCTGTGCTTATTAAAGTACACCTAATGTGTTGACCCGGGTGACTCCCTCCATTCATCCCTTAAACATTTAGCTCCACCAGTTTACAATTTGCATTCCATTCTTAGTCCTCCATTTAATCCATGAAAGAATAGTTGGACCTCCTCTATTCTTGTGGTGTTTGTCTTTCTGTTGTATTGAATTTTAATGACTGCAGGCTTTTTTGTAATGGTAAGATTGACAATAACGTAATTTGTATGTCCTTTTAGATGAAAGCATAAACATAAGTTGTAAAAATGTTGTAAAAAATGCCCTTTATCTCCAAGTTTGACACCACATAATGCAATTCTTCTGTTGAACATTTGGTAAGCATCACAGAGAATTCATATGCCTACCTATAAACTTACATAATCCCCTCCCATTGTCATTTTATCAAAGGCACACATTATGATCTAAGCCTTCTGAGATTTCTGTCTGAACCACATGCTATCAGAAGTGCTGCACTGCACAGACACATTGTTGAAAGTTTAATTTGACCCCTGATAGAAGACAGATGCAACTTGTGCCTTTGCGAGAATGTCCAATTTAAACTCCTTTTTAGTTATGAATAATTTGGAAGATCTTTGAGTCTAATGCATGCAGCCGGAGACAGGATGTAGGTTATTGTATGTATAAGTGCATAAAGAGTATCAAGAACGAACATTAAAATTAAGTCCAGACAGTGAGAGCAAGCAGGATGTTTTCACCTGTGTCTATCGAAGCTCTCGAAAAAGATTGAAACCACACATCTAAAATAATCTTCTGTAGAGTGAACAAAAACGGCGCATACTAACTTGAGGGATAACATAAATTGTCAATTTCCATATGATCCTGAAAAGTAAGAATTGTTTGAAGAACAGTAAAAGTTGTAAACATGTCACAGTCAATAAAAAGGAGGTTGCCGCTGCCGGAGCTTCCTCAACCTTGTTTAGTAATTCTACACACCACACTACATTGTCTGCTTCAGCGTGGTTCATTTTCCAGTTTAAGTTTCACATCACACATGCTTGTATTTTGAGGATTAAAAGAAGAGAAGCAAAATGGCAAACACAGTTCATCTTTCCCGTAAATGCTATGTAATGTTTTGTAGCATTTATTTCATTTCATTGGAATAGGTGACTCTCTCTGGAATTATTTGTCCACTGTATAGGATATTGCTTGCTTACAAATTTTTTGTGAGTTTGTATGTTTTCCTTTGTGTGCTATGGGCTTGCAGCGGTGCTAGTCTGGTGTCTGCTGGGTGATAGAAAGCAGAGATCTGGTTTCACAGCTGACCCGCCTGCCTGGCTGATTGGCCGCTGTGCTAACAGGAACCTGGGTGGGAGACATTAGCTGTCCATCTCTTATTAAATTGTCCTGCGAGGCTGCGTTTGAAAGTGATACAGGGTAGCTGGCCAGAGATCAGGACAACAGCAGGTCGACTATGCTTTGATCTGAAGGGTAAAAGTTTGCTTAAATTTGGGCCTTTGTCATGAAGCCAGAAGGAGAGTGTGCGGCGCCTGTGCCGACAGATCCTAAACCATTAACCTAGTGACAGTTTGTCTGCACTGACGCCCGGAGTATTTTAACTAGATAATATAAATTACATCAGCACGTTTTGCAATTTGGGTTTATTCTGTTTATATTTTATAATTATTATTAATCTTTCTCATTCCAAATCTATATGGTTACTAATACTTAACCCTACTCTTCTTATTTTCTTTTTAATGTACTGTGATCTTATTTTGTTCAGCACTTTGAGTTGCCTTGTGTGTGAATTGTATACAAATAAACTTGCCTTGCCTTACTCTCCACCTTAGATGAAACTGTAAATGTATTTTCCTTGAGTCATGTACAGTACTACTACTGCTTACGTACTAAACGTACTATTAAAGGCGCATGTGGGGCTGGTTAAATGACAACTGATTCTACAAATCTTTAGGCCAAGGAAACAACGATGATTAGCTGTGAGCCACAGACAAGGGTGTATCATATTTGAACCTAAGGCACAGGAAACTGGCTATTGGAAATTAATGGACACAAATTTGTTTTGACTTTGTCAGGTCAGAGCCGGGTTCACTGTTGTTTGCATGTGCCCCCTCAATGTTGGCTTTAGTGTCTCACCTTCCAAATCCCAGGCCAGTTCTCAAAGATGAACAGGCGCTGTGCCACAGCGGTGGTCTGCTGCAGACGTCAAAGAGCTCACTGCCATACAGACGAAGAACTGTGGCTCTATAAAACACAGCTATGAGCACGTAGGAACCTTCAATTTATAGTGGTAAAGGAAGTGAGAGTTGAAAAAGAGTTTAGTTGCTCTGCGTTTGATGCATCACACAACATATGTTCAGAAAATCTAGCGTCTCCAAAGCAGCATCAACCAAATGGATCTATGAACTTTATTTCCTTGGTGTGACTCAGCGATGAGAGAGTTGTGAGTCTTTACATTATCTTTTTTGCACAGATGACGGGTATACACAGTGGGGCAAAAAAGTAATTAGTCAGCCACCAATTATGCAAGAGGAAGGCCTGTAATTTCCATCACTATATGAAATAGAATGAGAACAAAAAATCTAGAAAATCACATTTCTAAAGATGAATGATTTTTAAAGAATTTCTTTGCAAATTATGTAAAAGTTAATCTCAAAACTTTGTTATATACCCTTTGTTGTCCATGACATAGCTAAAAAAAAAATCTGTAAATCTTCGCAAGGTTTTCACACACTGTTGCTGCTATTTTGGCCCATTCCTCCAGATCTTTTCTAGAGCAGTGATGTTATGGGGCTGTCGCTGGTCACCACAGACTTTCAACTCCCTCCAAAGACATTCTATGGGGTTGAGATCTGGAGACTGGCTAGGCCACTCCAGGACCTTAAAATACTTCTTACAAAGCCACTTGTTGCCTGGGTGGTGTGTTTGGGATTATTGTCATGCTGAAAGACCTAGCCATGTTTCATCTTCTTACGATACATGGCCTCATTCATTCTTTCCTTTACACAAATCAGTCGTCCCGGTCCCTTTGCAGAAAAATGGCCCCAAAGCATGATGTTTCCACCCCCATGCTTCATATTAGGTATGGTGTTCTTTGGATGCAACTCAGCATTCTTTCTCCTCCAAACGTGACGAGTTGACCGTATCACATTCTCGCAATCCTCTTCTGGATCATCCACATGCTCTCTGGCACACTTCAGACGGGCCTGGACGTGTACTTATTAAGCAGTGGGACACGTCTTGCTCACCGTTCATGTGATCATTTTTACCCCATGGGGCGACAGTGGCTCAGTTGGTAGAGCATTGGCCTTTGAGCCTGAAGGTTGTGGGTTCGAGCCCACCACAAGACCTACTTCACGACTCCCACTGATGACTGCTGTCGTTGTGTCCTTGGGCAAGACACTTAACCCCACTTTGCCTGAAGCTCCCACTAAAAGATCTCAGCTCCTGTGGACTCACCACCTGCAGGAGGATCAGTGATGGGCTGGTGCTCTGTGTACTGGGTGCAGCTCTGACTGCCACCCCCCCGACCCAGAAATGGATTAAGGGGAAGAAAATGGATGGATGGATGGGTGAGATCTTGCGTGGAGCCCCAGATCGAGGGATAATATCAGTGTTCTTGTATTTCTTCCATTTTCTAATAATTGCTCCCACAGTTGATTTGTTCGCACCAAGCTGCTTACCTATTGCAGATTCAGTCTTCCCAGCCTGGTGCAGGTCTACAATTGTGTTTCTGTTGTCCTTGGTCCTTTGGTCTTGCCAATAGTGGAGTTTGGAGTGTGACTGTTTGAGGTTGTGGTTAGGTGTCTTTTATACAGATAACGAGTTCAAACAGATGCCATTAATACAGGTAACAAGTGGAGGACAGAAGCGCTTCTTAAAGAAGAAGTTACAGGTCTGTGAGAGCCAGAAATCTTGCTTGTTTGTTGGTGACAAAATACTTATTTTCCACCATAATTTTCAAAGAATTTCTTAATAAAATCAGACAATGTTATTTTCTGGATTTTTTTTTCTCATTCTGTCTTTCATAGTTTAGGTATACCTATGAGGAAATTTACAGGCCTCCCTCATCTTTTAAGTTGGAGAATTTGCACAATTGGTGGCTGACTAAATACTGTATATGTGGACCTAAAATAGGATTTTCCTGTTTCCATTTTGGAAATCTGTAAGTTAACAAAGGCCTTTTCAATACGTGCAGCTTTTCTGTCTGTGTGCCTGAATAAAGACAGACTCCTCAGTGTTAAGATTTGGTCATGCAGCCCACTGTAATGTTTGTTTACCTGAACACTGGACCACAGCTCCCCAAGTACTGCCACCCTCTACCTAAAGACAGATATGGCCTGGAAGCAATCAGCCTCTTCTTCTGCCTGCTGCCACTCAGTGTCTTCATCCTTCCATAACAACCACATCCGCTTTCCATTTACAAGCATTGAAATGATAAAATGCATAATGGGCAAGACGGGCACCAAGTCACAAACTGCACCGCACTTTCACCCCAAACAGGAACTAGGGAGGAATAAATAAGGTGCTATGAGAAGTTCACTTTTGAATAAAGTTATAACATATCTGTTCTTGGTTTGTTGCAGTATAAATATCAAATTTACTTTAGTTATGTATAAAAAATGGTGGATGTTTGAACCCTTTTTTTTTAATTCCCAAATTACTTTCAACTCCAAGTTAGGTAGCACACATCTGTCTGAATCATGCACGAGTTTAAGGCATTACTTTGACCAATGAGGGTCACTGTGCTCCCCTGTAACAAAATATATTGATTTATTATAAGTATGCT